TCAAACTCTTTAATAACAGAAGTAGATGATTTGGGTTCTTCCTCACAAATCCCCAAAGATTTTATACCTTCACTCTGACTAGTAATACCTTGTAAACTTGTGGAGTCGGAACTGTCCTCTGAGACTGTAACTCTCTTCTGTGGCATACTCTTCAACAATGGCTTACCAGTTGCAACTACACGCTTCTTGACCACACCGTTATCGTCACACAATTCGGAGTCAGACCTTGATTTCACATTTAGCTTATCACTGAACTTGCTCACTGGTTCACAGCTCACCTTTGTATGCACCTCTCGCAAACGTGTAAAACACAACCGTGTTTGTCTTGCATCTTGTAATCTATCTGTTGAGGATGTACTACGAAAGCTATTGCACTTTCTAAGTCTATATGCATTACTAGACATCGAGGAGCCTTCTCGATATCCACCTCTCTGGAACCCTTTCGTCATCAATGATTGCATTTTGCTCTCAGACTGCTCTATTCTAGGGGTGAAATTCAATATACTGGCAAACTTGCTCATCGATTGATTGACACTATCTTTTACTAGTTTCAGGATATCATCAAATTTTGGCTCGATACCCTCATCCTTCATACGGGAGCTTATCTTCACCTACTTCCTTTGCAGTCGAGTAGGTAGGCGTCTCGCTATTACTTCTAGTATAAAACTCGAGTTGAGGTCATTCATGCAATTCATCGAAATCAAGGTATTCTTATAAGTCATAAGATTATCTAAAGACTCAGAAAGTGCCTTGGAGTCATCTTGAAGTTGACTGCCGTTACCTTTGACAGCTTCGTATACGTTGCTTACAATCATTGAAGGTCTTCCAAACCTTTGACGTTGTATGCTCATAGCCTCGTATTGGCCTTTTTTGGCTTATAAACTTACAGCACTGTATAGCTCTTGCAGCAATGCCAGTGCAATACCTCATCAAATACATCAATTTCAATTCATCACTTAATAAAAAACTACTCAGCATGATCTCAAACTCCTTTACAAATTGTAAATAATCAGCCGGGTTTCCATCGAAACGCCGTGGTTAAAATTAAGGGAGTTTGATGTTCCTATTATCCCTGAACGGCGAAACAGTAACATCAACCATGTCACGCTTAACGTCAGACACATCGTCACAATTAACAGACAAGGCTCCATGACTTACTTTCCTGTTTGCATTCAGGACACTCTGTCCCTACTCTGACTTAGGCATTGTTAAACTTGACCCAATTCCAAAAACGTTCCAGATATTGCTTGTTCAAAGAGGACTTAACCGGCACCAGGAGAAATGAACGGTGACTATCCAAACATTCACCAACTGCCTGAATCCGACAGAATCTGTTTCTGCCATCGGAAACCCTAACCCTGCCACCTACAACGCGCCCAACAATACCAACTACGGAAGCAGAACTACTAGTGAACACTGACCCCCCCACGAAATCAGAAGTCCTGAATGCAATTAAGATGCCTAAAGCTGGGAATACACCAGGACCAGATAGAATCCCAGCAGAAGCTTTGAAAATAGAACCAGAGACAACAGCGGACTTGATGAAGCCACTGCTGGAGAAGGCGTTGTAAAAGGGCATAGTACTCGAGGATTGGAAGAACGGATACCTATTCAAACTACCAAAGAAAGGAGGCTTAAATCAGTGTAAAAACTGGCGTGGAATTATGCTTCTGTCCATTCCAAGCAAGATACTAAATCGCATCATCCTGGAGAGAATCAAACAAGCCCTAGATGAAAAACTTCGTCCGGAACAGGCCGGATTCAGGAGAAACAAATCATGTATTGATCAAATCGCCACTCTACGGATCATCATTGAACAAAGCTTGGAATGGCAGTCACCTCTCTATCTCAACTTCATCGACTTTGAGAAGGCCTTCGACAGCGTCGATCGAGAGGTCATTTGGAAACTACTTCGCTACTACGGAGTCCCATCGACAATTATACATCTCATCCAACAGCTATACGACAATGCTGCATGCCAAGTAATCCACAACGGGAAACTTACGGAAGCCTTCGAAATGAGGACGGGAGTGCGACAAGGCTGTCTACTATCACCAATGATCTTCCTGATTGTAATTGATTGGATAATGCAACAGACAACGGCAACCAACGAGGGAACAGGCATAAAATGGACTGACACAAAAGACTTGGAGGATCTGGATTTCGCCGATGATATATGTCTGATTTCCCATAAACTGGAAGATATGTAAGTGAAAAGTAACAAGTTGGCAGAAGAAGCATCAAAGATAGGACTTCAGGTGAACATAGATAAAACAGAGATGATGAAGATTCCCAGCCAACGCCAACAGCAACAACAACAACAGACAACAATCAGCATAAGTGGGAAGAACCTGAAAGAAACAACCTCCTTCACCTACCTGGGAAGCATCGTCTCAACTACAGGTGGAACTGACGAGGATATCAGAGCCAGAATCGGAAAAGCAAGGCGAGCTTTCATTACTCTTAAGTCTTTGTGGCGGTCAGCAGCACTCAGCATCAAAAATAACATCCGGAATTGCAACTCCAATGTGAAGTCAGTGCCACTTACTATACGGATCAGACACTTGCCGCGTCATAAAGAGCATCTCAAACAAACTTCAAACCTTCATTAACAGCTGTCTCCGCTCAATACTCAAGATCAGATGGCCAGAAAAGATCAGCAACAGGGATCTCTGGGAGCGAACCAATCAGGAACCGATTGTGAAACAAATAGGCAGAAGGAAATGGAGATGGATTGGCCATAATCTGAGGAAAATATCAAGTGACATCACTAGACAAGCCATTGCTCGATTGGAACCCGAAAGAGAGGCGGCGAGTTGGTCGTCGAAGTGTGACCTGGAGGAGGTCATGCGGGGAGGAGATAAAAGCATGTGGATAGATCTGGAGCAGGGTGAAAACGTTGTCAGAAAACCGAAGGCAATCGCGGTGCGCAGCTGAAGGCCTATGTTCCTCTAGGAACTAAAGGACACAATAATAATAATAAGGTCTGTTAACAAATATTACATTCATAAATCACAATATTACTTCTGACGGTTTTGGCCTGACTTCTTTCTGAACAGCGACCGATGAGACGATGACTGTCGTATTGATGCCTCCGCGAGAATTGGTGAAGTTGGTTTTGAGCAAACAACCATGAATTGATCGTTCAATTTTCAACTAGATTGAAAATGTGTATTAATACGTCTGAGTTTTAGTGTTCTAATAATAATAATAATAATAATAATAATAATAGTATATTCTCATTTTGTACATGAGAGACGCCAGTTTACAGGCATCATCAATATGATAAATTACATATACGATTAGCAATCATAATTAATAATAATGTTTTAATAAAATACACATTTTTTCCTACTTGTGTAGGACACACCAAATATACAGGCATGGATAAGCATTATATAAATTTCATAAATTTGGTTTATGGTTAAGTTACATGGTTGCTGGCGTTTTTGTCTTAGGTCTGTGGGAACAATATGATAACCAGTCATTCAATGGAGCACGTCATGAAATATAGGAATATTAACTTCGCATTAACAAAAAAACCCAAGTAAGTTTTGGATGGATTAAAAATACTTGGGAAAAAATAAAGCTTGAAGTAATTCCTCAATATAACTTGGGTGTGTACAAATCCGAATCTTATTTTTGATTTGATTTATATCCAAATTGGGTAATAAGGAAGCTATTTTTACAGATACGATCAGTTATGTTATAAGCTACAATCGTGACGTTGTATTACAAATAGATACTTTTCCATTGGTATAAGAGTATATTCCACAAATGTAATCCAGGTTGCGTCGTGGAGAAAGTTAATTCGTTATTAACCAGGCAACTGAAAGATACGGGACCAATAATGTTTGCAGATCATTTGTCATTGTAAATGGTCAAATATCCACATTATTCATTCTCATTCAAAAAGTCAAATGGAAGCTGAAATGGTGAGAGAAAAAAGAAGACAAACAACAGCAACGCAAAAGAAAGCAACGGGAGTCCTTAAGGAGTGATTAATAAATATATACATATATATTCTGTTTAGTAACTGTGGTTATTTTGGTACACAAACTAACTAGTCCCGTTATGCTAACTTTTATATTATGTGTAAACTAATATTACTGTCCTGTGTAGAAATGTTAATCATCTAGTTCCAATAATATTAAAATTTATAATTGTAGTTTGTTGTAACTACACGTTTAAAGAACTTAAAATATCTATGTAGGGTGAAAAAGAAGGTGTAAGAGTCAGGCGCAAAAGTGCATTGTCATCTTTGAGTAGTCTGGTGACTGAGGAGATGAACACTGGAAGTGTGTTTGCATCGCGCACATTAGCTGGTAGTCTATTCCAAATGACTGAAAACTTATTTAAGAAGAAGTTGTACCGCACGTAAGTCTGACAGTGCTCCATAGCAGCTAGGTTGTGATGATTTCTAAGATTGTAACTGATGACAGCGGTAGGTTTAGTTATTGGCTCGGAGGAATGCAAGAGAAGATTAGTTAGCTTATAGTAAAAGATAAGGTTTAGCTTAAGGCGTCTTTTCCAGAGGGGTTCTAATCTTAGTCTTACGCATCGCTCATGGTATTCCAGACCACTTTCTAAACCAAGAGTTCTTGAGGTAAACTGCCGTTGCACTCCCTCTAATTTAAGCTTGTCATTTTGTCTTAGTCCGCTAAGAATAAACGGGCAGTATTCTAAGATAGGTCGGACACATACTTTGTATAATAAAACCCTAGTTTCACAACAAAAGAAATTGCGTGTTATGCATCCTATCAGCCTTCGCGTTTTACGTCTGGCATAATCAGTCTGTTCAGCGAACGTTAGGTTACTAGAGTATCTAATACCGAGATCTACGACTGAGTTGAGCTTAGCTAGTTTTCGCCCATTTATTTCAAGAGTTAGATCAAGGTTACTGTTGCCGATACAAATCCAGCCGCATTTGTCAATGTTAAAATTTAGACAGGATTCAGCACACCATGTTGCGAGGCTACTTAGTTCAAGATGTATTTTAGTAACCATATCGCTTAATTCATGAGTGTAGCAGGAGTAGACGACTTTGAGGTCGTCAGCATATAGGAATGGTTTGCCTAAGGTGAAGCACTTGCAAATGCTGTTAATGTAGACTGTGAATAAAAGTGGACCTAGGACACTACCTTGCACGACCCCACTTGAGATCTGCCTAGGATGAGACAATACAGATCCAACTTTGGTTATTTGTACCCTGTTGCTTAGAAATGATTTTAACCAGTTCAGTAATGGGTTGCGAATTCCACAAGAGTACAGCTTCTCAAAGAGAATACTGTGAGATACCATGTCAAATGCCCTAGATATATCGAAGTAGAGAACAACGACTAGCTTACGTGCTTCGCGACTACTAGTGATGCAGTTGAAAAAGTCGAAGTGGCAAGTAACGCAGGATCTATTTTTGAGAAATCCGTGTTGAGACCTTGTAACAAGATCTTCCCTAATTAGGTAGTCTGACAATTGATCTTTTACAACTTTCTCCATGATTCGTGAGATAACTGGGGTTATATTTATGGGTCTGTAATTGCGGACGTTTGCCCTATCACCAGATTTGTAATGTGGAATTATGAAGCTAGTTTTCCACTCACTAGGGTAAGTGCCAGTGTCCATAGATATTGAGAAGAATTTAAGAAGTAACAAGGGTATATCACACCCACTGTTTTTGAAAATTATCGAAGCGAGGCCATCCGGTCCCGTACTAGTGGAAGGTTTAAGGCTTTTAATTGCTTGTACTATTAACTGATTAGTGAACACAATGCTTTCAAGGGAAGAGATAGTAAGGGGAGCGGTTTCACCAGGCATATGTGTTTCTAAACTAAAGTTTGCAAACCAATCACTGAAGAGTTCACAGATAGTGGCAGGTTCATTGTAGATTACTTTGTCGTGAAGTAAGTATGGGATTTCCCTCGCCGACTGCATTCGTTTTTTAAGAAGTGCCGTTAAGTTATAAACTTTGGAGGTACTTTCAAGTGCCGTTAACTCTTCGTCGAGGTCCTTTTGAGAGCGTAGGCGCTTGAGAGATTCAAGAGACTCGTGGATTGAGAGCAATAGTGATATGTCCTTAGTGGAATAGTACTGTTTCTTCAGTTTCCTTAACTTATTACGGTGTGCCCTTGGAATATATTCAGTTCGGTGTCTACTTAATTTCACTATTTTCTTTGGAGCAACTGTATCTAGACAAAGGGTAACATTCCTGTAAAACAGGGTTACTAAGGCCTCCAGGGAGTCAGTGGTAAAATAGTCATCCCATTGACAGAGTCGAATAAGTTCTTGGACTAATCCCCAGTCTGTATATTTGTAACTACGACATATTGTGCTTCCTGAGTCTTGTTTGTTTCCTGTATTTAGTGGTGAGAAAGGCAGAGAGCAGAGTACCATTCTATGGTCACTACTGGAAAATCGATTACCAACATACGTGGATACTGGGATTGTGTCATGACAAAAAACAAGGTCCAACATGTTGTCACCACGAGTAGGTGTCTGGACGTGTTGTTGCCATCCATAACAGTCTATAGTGGCAAGTAATTCGTCGAAGCGTTGGGGGCCGGAACTAGTTAGCCAATTGACTTCTGGAAGATTGAAGTCCCCTGCAATTATTTTGTAATTAGCACTAAACGAGGATGCGTGTGCAAACGATTTAGCTAATAACGCATCAGTTTCTTTTGTTGAGCTTGGTGCTCGATAAACACAGCCTATGAGAAGTTTGTACTTATCTCCATGTAAGACAACCCAGAGTGAGTCAGGTACATTATTCATTGTTTCATCTTCCACCTTACTGACTACAAATGAGCTATGTATATATATGAGACATCCTCCACCACGCTTGCAATCTCTGTTTGCACGGTGTACAGTGTAATCATCGATACCTATATGCACATCAAGTACAGAGGATGAGCACCATGATTCAGTAATCAGAGCTACAGTAGGCTTGGCGACTAATAATAATGTCCTTAGTTCAGATATCTTATTGATTAAGGAACGTGCATTAATTAGCAATATCGTGAATAAGTCACGGGATACTACAAACTGGCTTAAAATGTCACCATAACCTAAATCTATTTGTGCGTCAGCACCGCAAGAATTTATGAATGAAAAGGAGGTCGGACTGGGTGTCTGTACATCGGGTTGGAGTGCAATGAGGTGGTCCTAGGTGCCATGGGTCGTACCAGTGATTCGGGACACCTGGAAAATTTACCATGTGTTCCTGGATATAAGGGTAGTACAGGTTGGGCCTAGGTTGACGGTTAAAAGGCATAGCATCAGAAGGTCTACCCATCCAACTGCTATTCGTCATACCGGTATACACCTTCGGGTTGTTTTTATAACTTAAAGGGAATTGTGAAGGAAGGTGCTTTGGCTGCAAGACTTTAGGAGTCTTGGAGCCTGACTTTCTATAAGGTGGAGCATGCGGAACACCTCCAGATATACTTATGTTTCGAGAGGAGTTTTTCGTAACAAGTGATGGTTTGTTGGCATTCTTACTCTCAGCAGGCTTATTGAATACAAAGTATTCTTCCCCATCATTAGTCTCAACCCTGCGAAATTTGTTCATCGTGGTGAGGTTACTACGTTTGGGGGGAAATTTCTTAGAACAACTTGCAGAAGTTCTAGTCATTTTAACATCTTTCGATGAGGCTTTATTTACAGGGGTACTGGTATCTAAATCAGTTCCTAGTTCCATTGGCAGGTGTGGTTGTTGTGTAGTTTGCTGAATGCTAGTTTCAGCACTAGGTGTCTGTTGCTGTGCACGATCCTTATTTGGTAAATCAAAGCTAGAGGAGGTGACCAGGTTATTACTACGCATTATTCTGCGCTGACACGGTGTTTTATCCTGAGCTACGGTTATAGACTTATAACTGCTATTCAGTCTTAAGTGATCCTGACATTTAGTAAACTTACTAGCATCAAGGGAATTACTGAATTTAAAAATGATTGGGCAATTAGCCTGGTTAGACTTTTTACGAAGTCGTTTGCATTCACATGGAACACTAGCCATGCCGCAACAAATCAGGATTTTGTGTCTTACAGTTTTCAGGGGCAGAGAATCTGGGACGTTGTAAACTATAGCTTGGTGAGAAGAGGTTATACGCTTCATCACCTCCGTAGCCAAGCAGTCAATCAGATTTTCAGCTTTATTTAGGTTGTCTGGAGATATTTTAGGATGCCTTTCTAAAAGACAGGCTATTGGGTCTAAATTCAAAAGCTTATTTTGAGTTACATCCAGTAAACACTTAACCTGGCCAATATCAGACCGGCTCTCCGTGGTATTTGAGATTGGCAGTGACATACTATCAAACTGATCTAATTTTTTCTGAATTTCACTTACTTGCCTCTGCATATCTTTCAAAAGGAGGTTTAGTTTACAGAACTCAGAGTTCTCTAACAGAACATCTTTCACCTGTATCACAGGAGTGAGATCTGCACTCAAACCATTTTGAGAGCTAGTAGTTGATACTGTATTACCAGGCGGTAATGCAGTTATAACCGAATTTAAGCCACTATCTAAAACAATTGTGTTTCTACGAACACGTTTTTTAGAGATTTGGACCATAATTTCAAGAATTATATGACAATAAGCAGTAAATAAATTTCAGAGCAAACACGTGCAAAAATGTCACCAATTTCGAACGTACCGCCAACGTAAACTATTCCAGCATGTTTCATACTGAGTCTTTATGAATCCATGCTGCTAGTACATATATATATATATTTCTTCCTGTTTATGCAGGAACATACCAATTGTACAGGCATGGATAAGTTATTATATAAATTACACAAAATTTAATGTATAATGGATTTACAGTTTGGTTGTTCTCTCTGACATGAGAGTCAGTCGGAACAGTCTGCTACAAAGTATGTTTGTGTGACACATAAAGAGATATGGAAATATTCCCTTCGCATTAACAAAAGACCCAGACATCAGATGAATGTAATACAAATATCTGGTTGAAAAAAGCTTGAAGTCAATTCTCTTATATAACTTTGATGTGAACAGCACCCTTGGCCTAAAGTTTATTGATGTATTATGTTGAGATCAGTGATATATTTATTCCATTTTTGTCAGCAGTCTTATCGTAGTTTTGTAATAGGAAGGAAATTTGATCGTGGATACGAAAACTAGATAAGGTCATGTTGGGTTGTTTCACTGCATCAAATTGTGCTGAGGTCGACTCCAGTATTCTCCATTTGCTCCATTTGTGTCTGCATGGCGGACTGTATTCGTAAGTTGCGTAAAATGTTGAAAAGCTGTTTGAAAACCAGTTGCTTCTACATTTCAGATCATAGATACTCATTTACAGCATGTTCGCCAGCGTCTACAAATGGTAGAAACTCAAACTTACCCTGACATATGGAAGACAACATTCATTATGCCTAAACACAAATCTGGCTCGAAAACTGATGTCAGTAACTACCGGCCGATCAATATCACACCTAGAGCATCTAGAATCATGGAGAGACTAGTCAAAGATAACTTAATCAAACATATGCTTAGCCGCAATATTATAAGTCCGAACCAACATGGATTCCTGAAATCCAGATCATGTTTAACGTGTCACCTAGACTTCTTCAATTTCGTAACCAGCAGTCGTGACAGACGGCAACTAGTACTTGTCATCTACTTTGACATCTCTAAGGCATTTGACCGTGTTGACCATTTACTGCTAACAAATAAGCTGAACTCCCTAGAAATACGTGACCCACTATTAGGATGGCTTAAATCATTCCTTAACAATAGGTCCCAAATAGTTAAACTCGGGTCTGCAACCTCCAAACCTAGCCCTATCACTTCTGGTGTAGTACAAGGTAGTGTCATTGGACCCCTCCTATTTACACTATACATCAACGACATATGCGCTTGTTTCACGCACGGGAAACCATTCATCTTTGCGGGTGACCTAAAAGTAGCTTATACATTCCAAAGTGATGACTTACGGAACTTCGAGAATGTAGTGCAGAAGGAATGAGATAAAATGACTGCTTGCTCGTCCCTATGGAATCTCCAATTTAATCTGAACAAATGTGGCTGGATCTGCTTTGGCGCACCCTCAAACGACCTGAAATTAACGCTTCAATCCGCCAACATAACCAGACACCGAAGTGTCGTTGACTTAGGCCTGAGGCACTCTAGTGACTTTGATATTCTCTGAGCAAGTAGCAGCACAGACTAGAAAATCGAGGATGCTCTAAGGATGCATACTCAGGAACTTTCACGACAATGAAGCCAAGCTAATTCTGTACAAAACATGTGTCAGACCACTACTAGAATACTGTCCATTTATTATTAGCAGCACTCGCACACGCGACAAGCTAAGGATGGAAAGTATCCAACGATATTTTACCTCAAAACTACTTCGCTACGATTGTAAGAAAGACTGCATCTCGCGCTGCGTGATCCTAAAACTTGACCCACTTTGGACAAGGCGACTTATTATAAACCTAATATTCTTCTTTAAGGTCCTTCACAAAATATCATTCTCAGGGAACAGGGACATACAATTCGCACAGGAAGGTCCTTACGATTTACGTAACCAAACTTCCACAGTGACAACTCATTCTTTTAAGTCAACACTCCGTGAAAACTTCTTCACAGTCATATATTCTAAAATATGGAATAGCCTGCCTATAGATATCAGAACTTGCTCTTCGGTTACAAGCTTCAAACGCTCTCTATACAGACTGTTCCACTCTACTGATTATATTAATAAACTATTTACTCCTAGAACGAATCAACTACAAGCCTAATACAGCACCTAAAAGACGCACTTCAACACCCTTAGCAATCTTTAAACTATAAATAAACTGGCAGCATGGATGCATAAAGACAGTACGGAACATACAGGATTAGTTTACCCTTAGAAATAGGACGTGTCACTCTATTGTAACCTTCAAACGCTTGCTATATAAACTGTTTTATTCCAATGACTACCCCTACCAGAACCCATCACTTATTTCTAAAACGCATCAGTCATTAGAACACTAAAACGCTTAGACTCATTAATACACATTATGACACTAAATAAACTCTAAGACTTCGCATAAATAAAGTGAAAAGGCAACTATAATTAAAAAGTAATTTTTTACTTATATGTTATAAAATTGACATAAACATTTATACATATACATTAATATCCTTTTAATGTTTACATACTTTCTCTTTCTGGTATTCTGCTGCTCTTATTCATCTTCTGGTCGAGGTCGAACAACCCTGCATCTAAACTGAAATGAGGATTAATTCCAAACCATCTATATCATAACCACTCAAATTCCATGAACGATCCAAATCTACCATTTGAAGACGCTGGCGAACATGCTGTAAATGAGTATTCATGATCTGAAATGAAGAAGTAACTGGTTTTCAAAATTTTTCTGAACTTACGAATACAGTCCGCCATGCAGACACAAATGGAGCAAATGGAGAATTCTGGAATCGACCTCGACACCATTTGATGCAGTAAAACAACTTAATAAGACCTTATCTAGTTTTCGTATCCACGGTCAAATTTCTTTCCTGTTATAAAACTAAGATAAGACTGCTGAAAAAGTGGAATAAATATATCACTGATCTCAACATAATACATCAATAAACTTCAAACCAAGGGTGTTGCTCACAACAAAGTTATATAAGAGAATTGACTTCAAGCTTTTTTCAACCAGATATTTGTATTACATTCATCTGATGTCTGGGTCTTTTGTTAATGCGAAGGCAATATTTCCATATCTCTTTATGTGTCACACAAACATACTTTGTAGCAGACTGTTCCGACTGACTCTCATGTCAGAGAGAACAACCAAACTGTAAATTCATCATACATCGAATTATGTGTAATTTATATAATAACTTATCCATGCCTGTACAATTGGTATGTTCCTGCATAAACAGGAAGAAATATATATTATTATTACTAATCGTTCATGGAATTTGAGTGGATATGGATAGACAGTTTGGAATTAATCCTCATTTCAGTTTAGATGCAGGGTTGTTCGACCTCGGCCAGAAGATAAGTAGGAGCAGCAAAATGCCAGAAAGAAAAAGTATGTGAACATAAAAAGAAGACATTTATATATTATGCACTTATAAATGTTTATGTCAATTGTATATTATACTTTAGTAAAGATTTACCTATATTGTGGTTGTGTTTTCACGTATTTATGCGAAGTCTTAGAGTTTATTCAGTGTCATAATGTGTATTAATGAGTTTGGGCGTTTTAGTGTTCTAATGACTGATGCGTTTTAGAAATAAGTGATGGGTTCTGGTAGGGGTAGTCATTGGAATAAAACAGTTTATATAGCAAGCGTTTGAAGGTTACAATAGAGTGACAGGTCCTATATCTAAAGGTAAACTATTCCAGCATGTTCCGTACTAAGTCTTTATGCATCCATGCTGCTAGTTTATTTATAGCTATTAGATTGCTAAGGGTGTTGAAGTGCGTCTTTTAGGTGCTGTATTAGGCTTGTAGTTGATTCGTTCTAGGAGTAAATAGTTTATTAATATAATCAGTAGAGTGAAACAGTCTGTATAGAGAGCGTTTGAAGCTTGTAACCGAAGAGCAAGTTCTGATATCTATAGACAGGCTATTCCATATTTTAGAATATATGACTGTGAAGAAGTTTTCACGGAGTGTTGACTTAAAAGAATGAGTTGTCACTGTGGAAGTTTGGTTACGTAAATCGTAAGGACCTTCCTGTGCGAATTGTATGTCCCTGTTCCCTGAGAATGATATTTTGTGAAGGACCTTAAAGAAGAATATTAGGTTTATAATAAGTCGCCTTGTCCAAAGTGGGTCAAGTTTTAGGATCACGCAGCGCGAGATGCAGTCTTTCTTACAATCGTAGCGAAGTAGTTTTGAGGTAAAATATCGTTGGATACTTTCCATCCTTAGCTTGTCGCGTGTGCGAGTGCTGCTAATAATAAATGGACAGTATTCTAGTAGTGGTCTGACACATGTTTTGTACAGAATTAGCTTGGCTTCATTGTCGTGAAAGTTCCTGAGTATGCATCCTTAGAGCATCCTCGATTTTCTAGTCTGTGCTGCTACTTGCTCAGAGAATATCAAGTCACTAGAGTGCCTCAGGCCTAAGTCAACGACACTTCGGTGTCTGGTTATGTTGGCGGATTGAAGCGTTAATTTCAGGTCGTTTGAGGGTGCGCCAAAGCAGATCCAGCCACATTTGTTCAGATTAAATTGGAGATTCCATAGGGACGAGCAAGCAGTCATTTTATCTAATTCCTTCTGCACTACATTCTCGAAGTTCCCTAAGTCATCACATTGGAATGCATAAGCTACTTTTAGGTCATCTGCAAAGATGAATGGTTTCCCGTGCGTGAAACAAGCGCATATGTCATTGATGTATAGTGTAAATAGGAGGGGTCCAATGACACTACCTTGTACTACACCAGAAGTGATAGGGCTGGGTTTGGAGGTTGCAGACCCGAGTTTAACTATTTGGGACCTATTGTTAAGGAATGATTTAAGCCATCCTAATAATGGGTCACGTATTCCTAAGGAGTTCGGTTTATTTGTTAGCAGTAAATGGTCAACACGGTCAAATGCCTTAGAAATGTCAAAGTAGATGACAAGTACTAGTTGCCGTCTGTCACGACTGCTGGTTACGAAATTGAAGAAGTCTAGGTGA